ACCCCCCGCTAATGAGACCCACGTGTGCACCCGCCGCACCACGCGCCCCATCCTGCTTTTCAGCTTCAGGCCCGTGCCAGTGGTTTGTGATAAACTTCAGGCTGTGTTTCGGAATATAAAACAACACGTAATAAAATGTAAACACAGCACATAGCACAAACATACCAAAACACAAAACATGTAAAATAAGATGTAAAAAATATGTCTTGCTAACGAGTTAAGCTACCAAATGAAAGCGCTGAGCTAGGAAAGGACAGTGTGCGAGGCCATGCTACCCCCCTGTGCCTCCCTGTGTCACATCCTGCACGGTGACACAGCCGGCTCCTGCTAATTAGCCAGCAGCTGATCAGGAGATCAGGCTCATCCTGCTCCTCAGAGCTGTCCTCCTGCCTTCTCCAGGCATCTTCTCACACCCCAACAGACCCAGCTCTTCCTCCCTGTCTTCTTCCTTCCTCCTCCTTTCTTCCTCCATCCTTCACTTACCGTCGAGGGCAGGATGCTGCTTCCCACCCCTCGCCTCTCTGTGGGCAGGGGGAACATTTGGGAGCCCAGCAGCGAGCGTGTGGCCATGGGCAGCCCTGGGCTGGAGCCCCTGGGTGCCTGCAGCAGCCACATGCTCAGCGTGGTGGCACACATCTGGGCCACCCCACGCAGCAGCCAGGGGCTGGCGTGCTGCTGTGGCTCTGCTGGACCTTGGCAGCTTCTGCCTCCAACTGCGTGAGAGAGCTGCAAGGCACAAGGGACCCTTAACTCGGGTGAATACTCCTGGAGGAGGTGTATCTTCAAAGGCAGCACCAAAGCCCAGCTCCAGCCCTGCGGTAGCCAGAGGAGGCTCATCAAAAGGGCTGTGAGGGAGGCTGTTAATGTTTACAAGGAGCCGAGCGGTGTATATTTTATTTTAGCCTCGGTCTTGGAAATGGATGAATTATTTTGTGCTGCGGTCTCTGGGTGATGGAGCCCGCTGCCGTGCCAGCACTTGGCTGCAGACCGCTCCTGCAGGATGAGGGAGGTGAGACCCTGCCAGATCGCTGCCCCTTCCTCCTGCCACCCCCTGCACCTCGCCGTGTGGCCCCGAAGCCACACGTGTGTGTGCCCAGGAGCCTGGCCAGAGGCTCTGGTGTGGGGTTGAGAGGCAGGGAGGTGGTTGCCAGCAGAGCCGGTGTGTGCCAGGACTCACCTTCCCTTCCTCAGGCCCCCGGGGCTGCTGTGGAGACACGGAGCTAATGCAAGAGGAGGGGATGCTGCCCTTCGCAGGGGGAGAGCACTAAAACCTCCATAACTGCGTAAAACGAGAGCTGTGCCAAGAAAACAAGCCCGGAGGTTTAACCGTGAAAGTGGAACAATAACATTTCGTCAGCATGATCTTCCTAGCACTGTTCCCCATGTCACACAGCACAATAATTTCCCGTTCAGCCTCACTTTCTGACTGGCGACCTGCGGCAGGGGCTCTGGGCTCTCCCTGCACCCCAGCCCCCGGAGCAGCCCCGCTTTCGGCTGTGCTGCTCCCAGCACAACCCCGCTCGGCTTCACCACCGGGTGATCCTCTTGAATCACTTTTTAACCAGCTCAAGAAGACTCCTATGGCAACAGCCGTGTTTGTGTTTGAGCGAGGAAGGGAATTTCTAGCGAGGTGGTGAGGGGGGAGGGAACAGAAGACATTTGGCCGAGGCTGCTCGCAGAAGTAAAAACCAGATTTCCTCCACATCGTGCTTCAGAGCGAGTTTTTGGAGAACCAGAGCTCTATAAACATGCAATTACCATTTGCTTTCTGTACAGATAACTTTTTTTTTCTTTTTTCTTTTTTGGCCACAGGGGTGTTGTTTCTTGCTCTGACAGAAGCCAGCCTGCCCAAAGCCCAGAGCCCCCTGCCTTTACCTGCAGGTCCCCCTTTTGCCTTTTCCTTCCCCTGGCCGCAGCAAGCTGCCGCCTGTCCCAGGCCATGCCCTGGCGCTCGAGGTGCAAGGAGCTTTGCTAATTGTGCTCAGCCAAATCCAGATCAGTTTTCCATGCGGACAGGGCTATTTTTAGGCTCTCCAGGAACTGCATCCCGGATTTTCTAACCTAAATCAATTTGTGCCTGGTGCAGCCTGGAGTGCCCCTGGACTCCAGCGGTCAGGGCAAGTCCCTTCTCTCCTGCTCTGCCCCCTCTCTGTGCCCTCCCCAGCAGCTGCTGACCTGCACTCATGTCGGTGCAGCTCTGCAATGAGTTCAGCTGAGGTGGAGATTTGCACCTATGCAGGGAGAACGTAGCTGCTGCGGCGTCCTCCTATTTTAACCATCACTTGATACCCACTTGGCTTTGTGAAAAAATAACCACCCTTCACTGACCTCTGTAGGAAACAAGTCAAACAAAACAATCTCTTCTGCTGCAAGAAGCAGAGTTTGGTCTTAAATATGTATTTTTATCCCAGGGATCCAGTTATAAACCGAGCCAAGAGAAAGGACTGTAATTTCTGTAAGCTGGTCTGAAAAAAAATGGAAATTTTCTCCTTGCTCTCGGGAAGTTTTCTCCTTTCTTCCTGTTGTGGGCTGGACTTTGTGGAGCAGAAATTGCAGTCTGTAGGATTAAAGCCTGAAGAGTTCTGTATGAATTCCCCCATATTTCAAGAGTACGAAGAGCTGGTTTTAGCCCGTGCTTTTTAAGCTACCAATAGTTGGGCTGTTAGCCATACACCATTGCTTCCATAGTGACAGCTAGGAGCTTGTTTCAACTTTCTATAAGGAAAAGCCTTTCCTGTAAGGCTCGCTGCCATCTATTTTACAGAACAGCTTGTGATGGTCCTGACTGGCAGACATCAGAGCGAGGGACCTCTGACACGAGGCTGAGCTGCACAGCTGAAGCATCAGCCTTGAAGACAGCCGCATGCACCTCTATTTACAAGTCATTACAATTAATTATTACAAGCTAATAATTAATTAGCTATTCAGTTTTTGTGGTCGCTATCGGATTTTGGAGTCCTGCAGCACTGAAACTGAGAAATCCCCATCCCCAGCCTCCTCTCTCCCACCCTCCGCAGGTTTAGCCCAGCTCTGTCTCTCTCCTCAAGCTGCAATACAATTGCCTTCACTTTCACCAGACCAGCTAGGTGTGGGTGACATTTATAAATAAAAGATGCCATTGCTATGGTCGTTTGGATTTTGAACAGCGCGCAACTCTTTACCAAGGTGCAAACTTGCCAAAATTGGGCAATACGCTCATCCAAAGTTCAGAGGGATGGCCAAGCCCTACCAAATTGCAACTTTTCCCATCAATCAAAAAGCTCCAGCGTATCAGCTGGCAGAAATCCAGTGCCTAATCTGTCCCATCACCGACTGGAGTGATGGGGACACTGCAGCTGGAAAGATGCCATTCTGGGAAGCAATCGCATCTTGTCTGCAAATTAATTCCTGGAGATTTTCAACAGTTTTGTCTAATCAGCTTTTTTTTTCTTGTTTTTTTTTTTAAGAAATCTTGTGACTCCTGCTCCAGTGATCCGGCCAGCCCCAAGGGTGAGGGGCTGAGAGACTTCAAATCAAATCAGACGTGAGAGCTAAGTAAATTGGGGTGTTCTTGGCAAGGCTCCTCTGCAACACAGAAACAGATGTATAGAGAGGCACACAGGAACAGCAGTGCCTCGGCTGCTCCTAATGAGAGCCCCAGCAGGGAGCTGGTTAACCCCATGCTGGGGCTTGTAGGCTCCAGCCTGACTGGACCAGGACCCAAAAAAGCAATGTCAGCACATGCAGGAGTTAAAAACGACTCTTCCCAACCGTGTGAGCCCAACGGTGCGTGGTGCACGCAGCTTGCACTGGCACGAAATTCAGGGTATATCGAGGATTCAGTCATTTCCAGCAGGCATTTTCCCATGGGGCTGAATTTGGGGTCTCTCTTGCTGCCCAGCCAGTGCCAGCAAGCTGTCTGCTGAAAGAAAAAAAATAAAAAATAAAAGGCAAAAATGTCCTGAGACCCTCCTCAGCAGAAAGGTTGCTGCTGCCCTCGGAGTACCGGCTGGAAATGTTCCCATGCACCCGAAGTGCCTGCGGTTACATTAGTCATGCGGCGATGAGAAAACAGGCTGGGGGGGCGAGGCTGGGGGAGCCTCTGCAAGCCACCGCTCCCCCCTCTCCTTCAGTAACCACACAGCAAGGGGAAAAAAACAGCGACAGAAATGCCTGGCACATCGGGTCTGAAGAGTCAGTGGGGCAAGTCAGTTTGATGCCCTGCTGCGGAGGGCACAGGAGGAAGAGAGGAGGGCACAGGAGGGGTGGCTTTGGGTAGAGAAGCAGCACTTCAGCAAGCACATGGCAATGCAAACACAGGGAGGTTTGCTGTGTAACATTTCCTGCTTTTGAGGCAATCTTTGTTACCCGAGCAAGTTGTCACTCGCAGGTTTTGTTTCGTTGCTGTTTAACCAAACTCCAGATCCCCCGCGTCTCAAATGCTCCTCTTTTCTGAGTTTGTCATCACCGAAAAATAAAAACTCTTGACTGACATGAAAGGAGTTTTCTTGCCTTTTTTGGTAGAGCGTCTTGCTGCAGTAATTCTGTCAAGACACAAACAAAGGGCGCTTTTTAATTGCTAAGAAAAAAGCAGAGAAAAAAAAAAAAAGAAAGAAAAGAAAAAGAAAAGAAAGACATAGAAAGGCATAAATTCTGTGATGGGGTAACTTGTGCACTAAGGGTAGGATCTCTGAGCAGGGTGTTGTGAGCTTGCACTAACACTCTGCAGCTACTGGCGGAGCGAGCCTTGAAATGCTGATATCCACTTAGAAAATTGAACAATGAATAAAAAGAAAGGTATATTCTGTGGTGCTAACTTAGAGGACTTGTGTATCTTTTGTACCTGTGCCACTGCCGGGCACAGCTCCCGTGCTGGGTGAAGCCTCGGGCAGTGCCCCAGGCATCACTGCCGGGGGCACCCTGGGCTCAGCAGCACGGGGCTCCATCCAACAGCCCTTCAGGGTGCCAAAACTTGAAAGATTTTGGTTTCTTGGAGTTCCTAAGAGGCGACTCATTCCATATAAAGCCAACACTCACCATGAAAGCTGAGTGGTGTTAAAAACACAGCGTTCCCTGGAGGCATCGGGCTGCCTGAGAAAGCGCTGGCCACCTGTAGGAACAAAACCAGCCCAGTGCTGTGCTGGTCCTCGGGAAACATCCACAAAAATAGGGACACCCTGCAGTCAGGGGACTGTCTGTGCCTCCGTGCCCTGGAGCAGAGGGGAAGGGCTGAGCATGGACACGATGGACTGTGGCAGTGGCCAAGGCGAGTCACGAGCTGCAGCAGCGATGAGCAGATGGCCAGAGGTAGGTGCTTAGCGTGTCTGTCTGTGGTTTTACAAAGTGACTTTAAAGCACCTATATAAGGAGCAGCTGGGGTACTTACCATCCATTAGGTTAGACAGGGAACATTAGTGGAGATAATACTCCCACATAGTGGCCTTCCTGGGGTTAGGAAAACGCTGGAAATGTCTAAATGGAATAACAGATATTCCGATTTGTCTTGTTACCCGTGCTAATCTCCACTTAACTGCTCGCTCGCTTTTTTTTTTTTTTTTCCTTCCCCCTCCTGCATTTCTTTGAGCTGGTAACTGCAGCTTCCTGTGGGATGGGGGCGGAAATCTGGCCGCGCAGTTTCGCAGCAGAGGAAGGTCACTGCAGCAGTGGCAAGTGGCGAGGGAGGGAGGTTTTGCAACACGCTGCCCGCCCGTCCCTGCTCCCTAGCCCCGCTGCAAGTGATCTGCTAGACTACAAAAGCCAGAGGGGAAGCATGCTAGATACCAAGGGATCTAGCTAATAAAATGTCTGTGTTAATTGCTGAGTGCTCAAACGTGTTAAAAATATCCCCATATAATAACAAAGCTATTTCATAGCTTATGTGTGACGGGGTATTTCCAAAGATGCTGTTAAGCAACAGCTCTTGCTGAAGTCCGTGACAGCAGAGGACAGCGTGTGCGCACCGAGCGGACAGCCTGAATGTGAGCAGACAGTAAACTTCCTGGCAAAAGTCCCAAACTCCAGTGAAAATCTTGGGGAATCGATGAAGTTATGCATCCTAGCAGAAAGTTTGGGAAAGATCATGTTCAAGGAAGGCTACATTTGCTTGGCTGTGATAATATAACGTGGTACTGTACTGCAGCCAGGGGGAGCGCTTACAGGCACAAAGTGGGAAACAGCCGCACGAAAAGACATCTACAGATCTTTTGTATCAGCGTATTTCCTACGAGTGTCCAACATTGCTCTAAATCTTTCCTTTCCAGAGCGATGTCTCACTCCTGTTGAAAATAGCAAGAAAATAACCAACGATTAAGTGTGATATGCCAGCTGGACAACTCCATCACAGGCGATGCTGGAATCTCTGCATAGCTGGTATGCGTGGAAGGAAGGAAGGAAGGAAGGAAGGAAGGAAGGAAGGAAGGAAGGAAGGAAGGAAGGAAGGAAGGAAGGAAGGAAGGAAGGAAGGAAGGAAGGAAGGAAGGAAGGAAGGAAGGAAGGAAGGAAGGAAGGAAGATAGATTATATGTATTAAAAACAAAAAGAAAACAAACCAAAAACTGTTTAGATACGTTCCAGATACCAAGACCGTGAAGCAACTTGTTTGGAAAATGGTTTTTCGCTGAACTGACATGTCCACAATGGGTTGAGCTAATCCCCAGTCCTAACGCTAGCAGGCTTGGTCTTGGCTGAACTTTGCAACTCGAATCTGTCATACTTCAAGAGAGAGGAGCCAACAGGACCCCAGCCCCTGGGATGACAGCCCTGATCCTGCTCCTTGTGTGTGAGCTGCTGGTGGCGGGGCAAGGGGAGGGTGCCCGAGACCACGCAGCAGAGCTGGGCACGTCAGAGGGCTCTGCTGCTGAGCAGTGACTCAGCCAAACAGTTTAGCTCTGGCTGGCCTTAAAAATAAGGATCGGGGATAAGGGTAAGAGCCCATTAACATTCCCAGGCTTCTCAGCACTGACACCAGTCCAGCTGAGCCTAACGCCAGCGCGGTCACACTGCTGGCCATCCACGCAGGAGAAAAGGTTACCACACTCAAGTGCTTCTCCCCTCCTTCTACCACACTCACCTTACCTACTTAACAGCTGATTTATTTCAGTGCTCCCCGACTAACTTGGACTAACCGGGACAAGCAGACTTGTTGAAGCCATCCCCTCCCCGTGGTGGCTCCTGCCTTTCCCGAGCCACTGACAGCGGGGTGAGGGAGGGAGCACGGCTGTGGCAGGGCTCTGCAGGGCAGCCAGGGAATCCTCCCTTATCTCTTTGCAAAGCCTCCATTTCTCCAAGACTCGGAGAGCCAGACATCGTCAGTGGTTTCTGGTGTCTGCAGTCATCAGCTGCACCACGTGAAAAATTACTCTGCATCCTTGGTATCTCCAAAAAGAGCACTGGGATGTTAGTGGCAAGGGAAAACATCCAGAGAACTTGGAGGATTTATACAGCTGACAAGAGGCACTTTGCCTTTGAAACACATATGTGAGATCTTGAGAAATACATCTGAGAAACTACATAATAAATGTAGGTCTTTCTGGAGTAATTGCCTTCTCTCCTGTGCCCCTTTGAAACATTTAACACCCTCACAACCTTTTCTGTAAAGTTTGTGGAGCTTTATGGCCCTCGTTATTAAAGTCGTTGAAGTCATTTTTATTAGGGAGAGGAGGAATTCGCTCTCTGCATCACTTCATACCGAGCCCGCATCCACTCTGTTTCATTCTCTCTTATTTCTTGCGAACATGACCCGGACCCACTCCAACATCAGATGGGAGAGAGAGAAAAGGTCAGACCCATAAATTTCTGACCTCGCCGGGTGAAGGTAGGCACCGCACTCAGGTCCCTGCTCCTGACGGCAGCTATTCCTCGGGGCTGCACAGGCCGTGCTAAAGGGCAGCAGCAGGGACATCTTTCATCACGCCCGCTGAAATGCTCCTCGCTGACGGCCTCGTGTGCGGGGCGCCGGCGAAATGAGATGCAAATGGATCTGCTGCCAAACAGGTTAAATGTCAGCACCCAGGGCAAGGCGTTGTTAGGAGGAAGGGCAGCGGGCATTGCAGAATTGTTTCAAAGGGGCAAGTGCTGAAAGGTGAGCGAGGCTGTTAGCACGCTTACTGTGCGAGTACCACGCTGGGACTGCTGGGCTTTGGTTCCCTGCAGCCTTCTTCCCAATCCTTCCCCATCCACACCCTCATGGCTCTCCTGTTGGTGTTGCAATGCAACAGGAGGAGTCTGAGGACCTACGTGGAGGCACCGAGCCCTCCTGGGACCTGATTTGGGGCTAAAATGCCTTCTGCTTGCTGGAGGCTGTTCTGAGGGAGGGTGAGAGCCTCAGATAGGAGATGCTGGGTGTTGTGCAACTTGGGGCAGCTAATAGATACACCACTCCTCTGCGCTCTGACTTGTTTGCTTTAGAGCTAGGCTTTTTAATCCTACTGGTATTTATATTGTTTTGCAATGTTTTTATTATTATTCTGAATCACTATCCAGGGCTTGTGCTAAGCACAACTTAATCAATGCATTTATTCTCATCTGCTTCTCGACTGTAATAAGCATCCTGAGACCCTGAGAGATGCTACTGAGAGAAGCAGACTGAAAACCCCCCTTTCTTTGATGCTGAAATGTGCAGTGTTATTCACAGGGAAGGAACCAGAGCAAGGGACTGCAGCTTGTTTCCTCTGTGCCTGGGGCAAAGGAGGAAAGATGCTACCGAAATAAGAGCATGCACATAAAAGGTTGTACTTGTAGATTGACTTAGTGTCTTCCAGGCAAAATAATGTATAAATAGGATAGCAATTAGACAAATGAGCCACTCTTTTTCTCAAGTTGTTGTAGTATGTTATGTTTAATATACGCCCATACTCCCATGTCCCATTAGGGACTGCTGTCTTTTGTGCTCTGCAGGCACGGTGGTGTACATGGAGGGCAAGACTAGACTTAGTCCAGTCACTTTTTGATGAGTAAACATTTTGATGGTATATTTTAATGATGCGAGTGGAGAAGCTATCCCGTGAAAGGATGTTAGTAAGAAATAGCCAAAGGGAAAAGCAGCTTCTAATAAGATATGAGCAGCTCTGAAACCACAGGGTTTCCCGTCCTAAGCTGATGGATTTGTCACTTCCTCCCTTGGCTCTTCCCCAAATGTAGGTGCCAAACGAAACAAAAACAGTAACTTCAGCTGAAAATCTTCATGGATCATCACAATGATCAAAAATTGCACTGCAGAGCATCAGGAAAGTATCTCCACGAAAATAAAATGCTGGTATAAAATGTGAGAATCTCTCTTTCTAGAAAAAGGAAAATGTGATAAATAATAAAAAGAAAGTGTGGTGTGCAAAGTCATCAGGAACTTCTGCAGAAATAGGGCCAGGTCCTGTCTCTATCAGGGATCATCTTAGATGCTAATCCTGAAGTAACTTCTTCAGCTAAACAGTTCAACTTTGAGACAGGAAACCAGTGGAAAAGTAGAAATTTCTGTCACTAAAGAAATAACAAATCATATCCTTGATAATTTCTATACTTTGGAATATGTTTTTTCATGCAGTAATTAGTTGAAATGTGGTATTATTCTGAAAAGATTTTCAAATGTGAGGATTAAATGATGTCTTGAAAACAAGCAATAACCATTTATACTCTAACATTAAACTCAATAAAACTGAAAGAGCAATGGGAAGGATCTAAACTTCCATGGAGTAGGGCAAAACCTATCCCCTCATGCCTGAGGAGATCTTCCCTTGCAGCCTCTTGTCCCTGAAGTCAGCTTCAGGCTTCACTCCTCTGTGGCCCTGGGTTCTTGCACAGGAGGTGCTGGACCGTGAGCACGGCCCAGAGCAGTGGTTTCTCACTCCACCACAAAAAAAAATAAGCTTCATGGCAATACCCCAGAGGTACCAGTGACCAGCCCCACTTGTCACGCTATATGTCAGCTTCCTGTGCCCTGCCTGGTCTCTGCTGCAGGCTCTCTGCATCCAGGACTGGTACCTGTGTACCTGTCCTCACAGATGGCTTCACCCTGTGCTTGGGCAGTACCTGGCTGGACCTCCTCCTCTCCAGACCTCTGCTGAAGCCCAGCACCTTTCCTGCCATCTCTTCTGCCACCTCTTGGACCTCTGCTCCATGGGACATCTTTTTCCAGTTCCAGCTACCCGTAGCTGCTAACTTAGTAGCTGTCTCTCAAACCCAGTAATATTTACAGCAGTAAATATTTAGACTTTGTCAGCATCTTAACTGGTGTGTAGGCTGTATTAAATTGGGTGCCGTACAAAGTCGAAGGAAAACAGTGTTTGGCTTGACAACAAAAGGTGGGTTCAAGCAGAGTGCCTCAGGGCAGCATGTGTCAAAGGATGACCGTGCCACACCGCACAAGGCTGGCTTTTTAAGTGGGAACTTCAGAGCCTTTTGTATACCATAAATTTGCAGTTTGTGTTCCTCTCCCCTATTACTGGGTTGCCATAAAAATCCCGGCCAAATAACTCATTCTGCCTACCAAACATTGGTTAGAGAACACCACACGTAATATAAACCTACATAAACTCCTGAGGTTACCGAAGACTCAGCTCCTCTGAACAATAATATTTCGCAGCTCCAAGACCGGAGCATGAACTTCCACAGGAAATACCTCCTCACCTCCTGCCCTCAGCATGGGCTGTGTTTCTTTGATGTTACCTCCTCTGAAATGTATAACAACATGTGTGTGTTAGAAAATTCAAATCATTGTATACACTGGAAGGGAGAGAAAAGGAAAGCAAGCATGGGAGAAATGAATCCCAGCGGGGAGCCCGGGACTGAGGCGTGCTGAGATGTGAGGATGGTGTGCGGGAAGAGCAGAGCAGCTGGGTGACTTGCTGGGATGAAGAAATGCCTTTCTGCTGATAGGGGAAGGGAAGCCACAAGGCCTGCCTCCGGGCCTTTTCTTCAACCAGCTTTTGCAATGAAGTAAAGATATTCCAGCTTTAGCAGTCGCTGTTAAAAATGAGACATTAATAACAAACCCAAAGACATGTACCACAGGCTGACCCCGAGGTGAGGATGGGCGATAGCGTTGCTGCAGTACCTCTGCACGGTCAGCTGTGGCTGAGTGCAAGGCTCCCGAATGGTGACAGTGGTAACTCCAGGACCTGATAAGCTTCTTGTTATCAGGGTAGTTGGAGAATGCCATTAGTAACTGTACATGGACTCCGTGTTTGCCTATAGCACATGTTTGTATAGCCATTTCTGACAGTTAAAGATGTGCTAAGTTTCCTTGACAGAAAACAGACATTTTAATAAAATGGCTGCCATTTAACTAGAAACTCCTGGGCACAGCTCTATGGGAAACCGTTCCCACGACCTTCTAGGGGAAGTAATGTTTGTCTTTTAACAGGGTTTCATACTGTAAAAGAAAAAAAAATCCTTGCTCTGCAGTGTATAGATTTTTTTTTTTTAACATAATCCTAATGACTCAAGTTGTGAGGAACTGCATATGCTGTTTTCTGAAATGTATTGCAAGTTACTCTTGTCTGTGCTTTCAGGAAAAGAAATTTTGCAATAGTCGTTCAGAACAATGAAGTTGGAACAATGAAAGACTGAAGCAGGAACTCTCGTAATGCATCTGACTCCATTATATCACATATTTTAATCCTCAAATGACAATCACTTATTGATTTATGCACTCTGTTTAAGTAGCTGACTGCTTGTCTTGTGTATCTGGCACTTCTTACCTCTACTCTACACGGATTTTGTTTTGGATCGTAACTAAGTTCACATTTAATGTATTTATTTTAATTTAAAGCACGCTTTACAAAAGCAGCAAAACCTATCACCCAGCTGTCTTTATTCACTGCATTCAGTTGACGCTTGAGGGTCACCAGCTTGAATTGGCTCCTTATCCAACACTGCTGGACTGTTTGTAGGCAGCTCATGTACAATTGCAATTGAGCAATTGTAAGGACAGATTTGTTTACGAGCTGCCCTACCTGGGAGTGCTCCCCAGCGGCAGGACAAGAAGTGCCCAGTGGGAACTGGAGTCGCAAAGGAAGCCACACCATCTGTCCTGAAATCAAGACACCAGTCAGGGATAAGGAAGGGATGAAGAGAGGCATTCATAGCAAGCTCATTCATCATTAATCTTCTTGCACTCAAACACAGACAACAATAGCTTGTTTTATGAAAAGGTGCTGCTCTTCCAAAGCCGTGCTGGGAGGAAGAACGTGCTGCACGCAGTGAACTCAGGGGCTTGGCTTCGTTGCACCAAAGGGCTTGTGTTGAAACTCCACTTCTTGTTTGCGGTTGGCACAGAAATTAAATACATGTTTAGGAGTAAGAAAAAAGGAGAGAAACTCCACAGAGTCCACCTAGAGTGACCACTCCTGAAGTATCTGGGTTGTTGGTTGGGTGCTCTGCATGGATGGGGTGCCTACACCTGCTCAAGCTGCCTGGATGTGAAATGCAAACTACACTTCAAGCACCTAAACTGCAAAGTTAAGAGGAGCCCAAGACAGAAGCTCCTCTAAAGGTTGCTAGCAGCTGCAAACGAAATATCTCTAGGGAGAAAAAATAAATGAAATGAAATAATAAAATAAAATAAGATAAAATAAGATAAAATAAAAATAAAATAAAATAATAAAATAAAATAAAATAAAATAAAATAAAATAAAATAAAATAAAATAAAATAAAATAAAATAAAATAAAATAAAATAAAATAAAATAAAATAAAACAGGCCTGTACTCTCCCTGCAGAGGCTGCTTACGGAAGGAAGCGAGCCTCACGTGGCTGCACTCTGTCTGTCAGACTGCCTTCCTTTCCCACAGACCACATCTTTTCAGCTTGTTGGCTGATTCAGCCAGCTTGGAGCAGGATAAGGGTCCCAGGGAGGCTCTTCCTTTCTAAAACCTGGGGGCTGCACCGAGGGGAGAGACCCAGAGCAGTGTCTCCTCTCAGAAAAAGACCCCATTGCATGCCCAGTAGTTATCCACTCCGTTCATGTTGTCTATTGGCAGATTAGCTTGTGAGTACTGATACAGGGGGACACCCGGTATTTTTGATAGATAATTTATCTTATGTTATTCTTGGGTTGTGAAGGGGGAAGGAAGAATTTACTGGACTTCACTGGGTGACATCAGGCCTCCCAGCTGCTGATTAATTTGGATTTTCAATGAGTTCAGTGGGGACCAACCCAGCATTTTAACAAATCTTAACTGTAGAGCAAAGCAAAAACAAAACAGGGCCCTCAATTTTTCATCACTCTCAGACTTTACAGAGTTCACACCTGAAATGAGAATAACTGGGGCTTGAGGCTTTGCCAGTAAAAACACGATAATATTGCAGACTCTGCTTTCAGTGAAGGAAGCCAGGTAGAAGAATGGTATGCATGGGAGAAAATTTCTGGCTGCATATATAAATAGCAGACGCTTGCCTCCTGTACTTGATAGCAGGTTTTCTTGCAAAGGTTCAGTGAATCTGCTGTGAGTTGTCTTGTTTCCATGTGAAACATGGACATTTTGGTGTCCCAAGATGATTTTTAGTCTATATTTTCTTGGGAGCTGTGGTGCCCATCGCACAGGCAGTACAGAGGAACAGAGCCCACGTGAGCTACAGCTGGGTCTAAGCACTTCGAGTTATTCAGGTTACCTCTCATGTAAATTGTTGTCATGATAGCATCTGCTCTGATAACATCTTTGACCTGTCAAGATGCACGCCCTAGAAGGTAGACAAAAGGAATTTGACCTGTTGAAAATGAGTTCAGAATTTATAGATAGGTAAGAGCAGTAAAAATTGTCATTGGAGTTACCACAGGTATTACAGGAGGGCTTCCTGAAGAGGTGATTGTAGACTGTCATGCTTCACACAATATCTAGAAACACTATACACCAAAAATTGTCAGCACATTATTTGGTTTTGTCTTTGTTTCTTAATTTAAAAGTATAATGGCAAGACAGATAAAAAACAATATAATTCCAGGTATTCACGTATTAGCTTTCAAATACTTGGCTTTACATTTTGATTTTGGGAAACAAAATTTCATCAATTGATTCAGACACTTTCATAAAAAAAAATGTTGGTAAAAAAAATGCAAGTGAATTGCGAAGTAGGTTTTGTATGGTTAAGGATAATTGTACTAGGGAGTGGTATAAGCTCTGTTTTCAGAGTCATACTCTATAATTTGTTGAAATGCATTAAGTTTATCGTGTCTTTTCCTTCTTCATGTGCAGGAATGTAAAGAATATTTTCCTTGTCCAAGCAGGCAGAGATCTACATATAGAGAATTTTATAAATTGAATAGAAAAGAGAAAAACAGATAATATAAAAAAAAATTATAGAAAATTAGAAAATTAGAAAATTAGAAAATTAGAAAAGAGAAAATAAAGACGACAGCTGAGGAAAAGAAATCCTGTGAACAACTGAAGAAAAAAGGCCAGAATGAAAAGAAAGTGAAAGAACAGCAGAAGAAAGCCAGTGTATGGGGTTGCTCAGTAGCAGCTCATGAATATACCATACCATGATGTTAACCAGCAGGCCATGTGTAATTCAGCCAGTTAGTCGACCTTCATCCAGTAAAGTCTGACATTTCTCCTGGCTCACCCCTAACGCAGTGCAAATCGTAATGTGTGCCAACTCCAGTGCCAAGTAAATACTAGTAGATATTGGTCTCTGGCTTACAGACTCAGGGGATGTAGACAAAAGGAAT